TCATAATTTTACACGAATTTTACTTTCATCATTTTCCAAGCAGACAAAGTTAATAGAAAGATGCATGCTATGTGTACATGACAAATAAAAGTAGATGAAGAGACAAATTCAATACATTATCTCAATATGTGTTTTCCTATTAGGATAAATGAATTCATTGGTACCACACTATCCCAGCACACTCTCACTGGATGTGGGCACTGCCCTCTCTGAGTTATCCATCCCCAGTGCTGTCTATATAGCAGGAGGTCATGCAAATAGGGCACACGGTACTGTAAAAAAGAGCCCAGCCCTGTCCTTGCAGCTCTGCAGAGAGCCCAGCCCTGGATGCCCAGGTCCTCCTCCCACTTGGTGATCAGGATTGAACACAGGCAGCGTAACATGGACCTTACCATGTGTTGGGTTTTCCTGTTTGTAATTTTGAAAGGTAAATTACTTAGAGCAAAAGATACTGAGGGCGTGAGTGTAAACAGTGGACGTGTGTGACAGTTTCCTGAGCAAGATGTCTCTGTGTTTGCAGGTGTCCAGGCTGAGGAGCAGCTGGTGGAGTCTGGGGGAGGCTTGGTGGCACCTGGGGGGTCCCTGAAACTCTCCTGTTTGGCTTCGGGATTCACCTTCAGTGACTATGCCATGAGCTGGGTCCGCCAGGCTCCAGGGAAGGGGCTGGAGTGGATCTCAGCCATCAGCTATAACGGTGGTAGCACATACTACGCGGACTCTGTAAAGGGCCGATTCACCATCTCCAGAGAAAACGGCAAGAACACGCTGTATCTGCAAATGAGCAGCCTGAGAACCGAGGACACGGCCGTGTATTACTGTGCAAGACACACAGTGAGGGGACCTCTGTGTGCGCCCAGACACAAACCTCCGTGCAGGGGCGCGCTAGTCCAGCAGGCGTCGCTGTGGTCCATGGAGAACCAGGCAGGGCCCCAGCAGCAGGTGCAGAGAAGGCAGCAGAGGGGTGAGGGCTTCCTGTTGGCCTCTGGGGTTTCCCTTCAGTATTAACATCACACGACCTGAGCAAACCTTTAAATGTATGAGCTGCAATGAAGTATCCAAGTATAAGTGAACATTCCGTTACATTTATTGAAGTATGGAGTTTCACCTCATATATCTAACTTGCACTTGATGGGTAAACCTGGTCCCTGGAGTGATGACCTCAAACACGGGCAAACACGATCGCAAGTAACTTGGAAACTTTGTCAACTGCAGTTTCTTTTCAGTGACAACTCATCATCATAAAAAATTGTATCTGCTAACTTTTTCTCAAGTGTGAGGAATTGTCTCATACAAGAATACGTGATACAGATTAAGGAATGAAGTCCTTCCCTACCCAATTGACAGAGTCTGAAAACACCCAGCTCTCTCTTCTATCCTTGGCCACCTCAGGATGTCCGGTCCTCAGGCTCAGCACCAGCACCTTGTGGAGTCCCGTGCTCAGGGAGGAGGGAAGAGAGAAACTGGGCTGGACTCAGTGCAGAGTCCAGGGGCCTTGCTGTGCTCTCTCTATCGGAGGGGGCAGAGCAGGGGTTGGGCCTATGCTTTTCCTCTGGACTTTAGAAATTGTAACAATTTTAAAACAGACTGTAACACTTCTCCCTCTAAATCCCCCCTCTCTCTGTGTCTCTCCTCTGTCTTTCTCATCTCTCATCACTAGGATTCAATCTATGTATCAGTAAAAGATGAAGAATACATGAGGGAAAGTGCTCAAGTACGATAACATTCAGTTTTCTAAGAAGATTCTCATAATTCTGTATTCATACATTTTCTATATTCTATCTCACTTTTGTCTCAGTTAATTCTGTATTTCCATCACACATGTATTCTTAAATTTTCCTAAAATGATCAAATATGCTTCTATACTTAATAATATCTTTCTTACAGCTATAATTTTCTGTGAAGAAATTTTTTAGTGAACATAAGTTCATTTCCACACCCAATCCCCACACACGCACATTTTAGTTCTTTTTTGTTGACCCCCCAGTCTCTTGATCCTATTCCCATTTCGGAGACATTTGTCAACTCACTATCATGTATTTAACATGGTATTTATTGTCAGTTTTTCACATTAAAGTTTTGTCTTAAGACTTGTTTGTAGTACATAATATTTACTTCCACTTTAGAAAGTAGGTGTTTGTGCTTATCACATCTTGATTCGTGTTATTCCCCTTACCTTACTTCCTTCCTCCATACTGGGTTTCTGATGGTAACACCCTCACACACACTTCTGTACATCTCTGTATGTGTTGAATGGATCAGGACGATGCCAAGATTCTACTTTAATAATGAGGAGATGGAATCTAAAAATCAATAACAGGAAATAATATAAAACCAAGGGGAAAATTCAGTAAACACAAAGCTGTGTCCAGGAAGAGATCCACATAACTGCCTGGCCTTTACCTCTCTTTATTAACGAAAATGAAATTACACAATCTAAATTAAAAATGGAACATGTGTTCCATATCTCTACCAAAAATTCTTGGTAAATATTACAAAAATGGAAAAATGAATAAACACACTGCACTCAGACGTGTGAAGAAACCTAAAATTCGCAATGATTTAGATGGTACATGTCTTTTACAGCTAGTGCTATAAAGGAATACTAAGTAATTTGGGTTACTGCTCTCATTGTCCCCGGCTTGTCTGGAGGGCTGCCTTGGATGTGGTTCTCCAGAGCAGCAGAGATAAACCAGACACGTAGTGACAGCACACAGAAAGAGACATTTCCTTGGGAACTGGCTCACAGGACCATGGAGGCTGGAAAGACCCAGCTCTGCCCTGTGGGCTGCAGGTGGAGAACAGGGAGTTGGAGGTGCAGGCACAGTTGCAGGCTGTCCGCTGGGGAATCCCTGCAGATTGGTGACAATGGTGGTTTGTTCTGTGCAGGCTCTCCTGGTTAATGAACCTCACACACACGATGGAGGGGAACCTGCTCTTCTCAGAATTCATTCACTCAAGTGTTGGTCAATTCCTAAAAACTCCGCAAGGAGACATATGATCCTCACAGAGGACCAACAGGCTGACCTAGAAACTCCATTAACAAAGCCCATCCTGTAACTTTTGAGCACAGCCCTACAATCTGGTACGACACAACGGTGAAATCTTAGTCTGGACACATTCATTTCACCAACATCTCATGTTCCCTCAATAGAGAGTAGAGTTATTTTTTAATTGTATGTATACAAAAAATAAAAGATGATGAGATTTTGAATTAAAGAAACCTACAATTCTTCAGAGATTTACACTATGCCATGCACGTAGTAACAAGAAATGCAGCCAAGATGTCATAGCACATGCAGTGGGCATGAGGTGTGAAGGGAACACACACTGTCACCATCATGGAGGACATGCTGGTAGGACAGGGATATACAGAGTAAACACTCTGAAGCCTCAAAGTTAAACTTGAAAGGATAATGCCAGCTGAAACCATGGGCTACAACACGGATACACCTGTACATCCAGGCTCTGGTGTGGAGATTTCAAGGATATACAAGGAAAAGACATGTCAGTTTAGGTTTCTGTGATCATACAGATCAGGTGATATTCAGAGAACCCCTGCCTGTGGATTTTGAATGTTTTATACTCTATTTTTAAAACATAGCACATATATCATTTAATTTATGGTTGGCTACCTAAGTGAACTAAGCTGTTGGGTCTCAGGTTGTATTCCGTCTTTCACATAAGGCTTTCTCATGACCAGTATTTTGGAATGTTTTCCATTGCTAGAGTATCTAACGATCTCTAATCTCACTTGCTTTGCTTTTGTTTTTCTTGTTATTTTTTGAGACAGAGTTTCACTATGTGATTTAGGATGGCCTTGGATTGACTATGTAGCCCTGGCTGGCTTTGAACTCATAGAAATCCTCCTGTCTCACAGTCTTAACTTCTGGGATTATAGATTTGCACCTCCACACACATCTGGATCTCTCACATAAAAAAGGCAGTGGATGTAAAAATTTGTGGACAAGTTTGGAATCCTCCTTGAATGTTTTCATCAGAAATAGATGAACACTTCATTTACATTATTGATAGTATTGGCCTTCTCTATCTTCGTTTTTGAGACAAGGACCGGGATGTTCCAACACAGAATGTGGTCCCATTTGTGGTGTTCTCTGGGGCCATCTGAAGGTCAGGGCCAGGAGGAGCTGCACTGTGTGCGCAGAGCAGGGCCCTCTTGATCCCAGCACATTCAACATCTCTGAGAGGCAGGTGGGGATGAAGCCAGATACCAAGTCTCATATGCCCTTGCTCCTTGAGTATTTCCCTACATCTTCCTCCTGTCTCCCTCTGACTGGTGTAAGGTGAGCTGCTGAGGTGATTTTTCCAAACATTCTATTCAGGCTGCACATTTAGAAACTTGAGTCATTGTGAAGCCATGAGTCCTCAGGGGCAGGGTTCTCAGAGGAAAGGTCAGAATGTCTGTAGTCCATGAGAGGTCCCAGCATTTTCAGATAGTAGTAGACATCTCTGATTACAAAAAGCCAAGAATGAGCTGAGACAGAGACACAGGAACTCCAAGAAAATTCTCCACATAAGTTAACTGTGAAAATGTAGGGAATAAGATCTAGAAGTTGTCTATGAAGACTACCCTCAAGGATGAAGCAATACGTTTTTAAAAGGCAGTCATGGAGAGGTGGACAGGCATGGCACCAAGAAGACAGAAAGCATAGTCAGATTCTTAAATATTTTTCTCTATCTCCAACAAGAGCCCAGCAAATACACAATTCTCTGCCTCACTACAAACTCTCCCCTGGAAAGGCACGCTTTAGTAAATACATTCAGCACATCAGAACCCTTTCGGGACATGGACACTTTCACGTTAAAGTTGCGAATGAACACTGTGCTCAAAATGAACAAAATCTTTGCTCCAACTCAATTTATCTGTGTGTAGAAGTATGAATACCACAGAAGATGCAGAACAGTGTCTTTGGGGTGTTCCTCTCCCCAGGGCAATTGGTCATCATAAGCAAAACACTCTCCTGGGAAGGACCAGAACACCCTGCCCTCTGTCCCCCTCTTACACCCTCACTGGCTTCCCCATGCAAAGCAGCCCCAAGCTCAGGATGAAAAGCCAGGGCTGGCTGAGCAGCCCCCATCACCTCTCACAGGAGCCTTCATACAGCATGGAGTCCTTGGTGCTGCTCCTCTGCCTGGTGGTGGCTCCCTGCTGTGAGTGTCTCTGAGTTTCAGGAGAGGGAGTGGGCACAGGGTGTGTGGTGCGTTTGACTGATGGTGATGCTTCTTGTCCTCAGGTGTCCTGTCCCAGGTGCAGCTGAAGGAGTCAGGACCTGGCGTGGTGAAGCCCTCAGAGACTCTGACCCTCACCTGCACAGTCTCTGGATTTTCTTTAACCAGTTATGATGTGCACTGGGTCCGTCAGGCTCCAGGGAATGGACTGGAGTGGATCGGTGTGATATGGGCTAGTGGAAACACAAAGTATAGCCCAGCCTTTCAATCTCGAGTAAGCATCGGCAGGGACACTTCCAAGAGCCAAGTCTCACTATCATTGAGCAGCCTGAGATCTGAGGACACAGCAGTATATTACTGTGCAAGACACACAGTGAGGGGAAATCAGTGTGAGCCCAGACGGAAACCTCCCTTCAGGGGCTCCCAGGACGGCAGGGGGCAGGCAGGACACACTGAGCTCTTGTTGGGCCCTGCACCAGGTGCAGGATACTGGGTCTGCTTTGCTGTTAGAGTCTGTGGATGTCTCTTCCTGTCCCCAACATTGCTAAAGAACTTCTTCAGTGTAGGCTTCTATAGACTTAGGATTTTTAAATAATTTACTTTCTTTTTTATGAGTATATGTTTGTAGTACAGCCAGTTTACAATGAACATCAGAACTGGCTGCATGTATATGATGCCTCTGGATCCTTTAAAAACTCTGTATCCTATTCATCATTAACTTGACTCCCACCCATCTCATTTCTCCATTTTTATTCATGTTGATATTATTGAACTTATCTCATGTTTCTGACAAATAAAGTTTATATTCATTTTTCAGGTTCATGTACATGGCACGTACATATCCTAATTTTTTTTTCATGTCTCCTATTTTTTCATCTATGTTCCCTTGGACTCCTTCCCATTTGCAAGAGATCTACCTATTCTCATCTCCTCCATTCTTTACTGTGCTTTATGTTTATATTTTGCCTCACTCAAATGAGAAGTACTGTATGATATTTAAGTTTTTGTGTCCTATCATTTTTCACAATATTATATTTTCCATGTGCATCCATCTCCCTACAATGTCTGAAATCCGTCCTTCTTCATAGCTCAGTAACAGTCCACTAACTCTCAGTACCACATGCATCCTCTGTTGATGGGCATACAAGCTGATTCCGGAATTTAGCTCTTATGCACAGTGCTGCTATAAACACCGGTGTGCACATTTTGCTGCAGCACGATGTGCTTCGCTCTTTCGGGAAGATACCTGGAAGAGAGAGAGCTGGGTCTTATGGAATTTCGAATGTGAGCTGTTTAAGGAATTTCTGTCCTGAGTTACGCAGTGGTTGGACCAGTTTACGTTCCCAGCAACAAAGAAAGAGGGTGTTGTTTTACCTGCAGCCATGGCAGAATTTGTTACTAGTAGATTTTTTTTGATGATGGCAGTTCTGTCTGGCCGAAGATAGAATCTTAACATTGTTTTAGTTTGAATTTCTCTAAGGGCCAGGAATGTTTAATATCTTTTTCTATATGCATTGGCCACTTGTATATCTTCCTGTGAGACGTACCTGTACATTTTACTTGCCTGTTTCTTGACTGGGTCTTTTCTTTTAGGCGATCTAATCTTTTTGAGTTTTTCATACAGTCTAGGTATCATTCCTCCCTCTGAGGAAAAGCTTGAAATAAATTCCTCATCGTGTCCATTGTTTCTTCACTCTGCTAATTCAGTGTGGAGATGCTTTTTGATTTGATGTCATCTCAGTTTGTTAATTCTTGGTGTTACTTATTGTAGAATTATGGTTCTCTTTAGGAAATCTCTCTTAAATCTATCACTTAACGTTTTCTAAGTATTTCATTATCCAGTAGGTAAAGATTTATCATTGCTCTGACAATGACAAACATTGAAAGAAAGGCTGCTCTGATCCAGGCTCTGCATGTTCCAGATTCCATTGTGCAAATTCCTATACGTGGTAAAATCACTTTCAACTTCAAAATCCCAAAATAGGATTATTTTCTCAGTTGCTTTTAGATTATCTCCTTGCAGAAAAAAAAAATGAGCCATCGGTGCACACATTCCCAGTTTGCACAGCAAAATTCTGCCAATTGTAACTCTTTTCAGGTCCTTTCCATGGACAGTAAACTGCCCTGCCTTTCAAGTTTTCGTATTTTTTTCTTTTATTTATTTTTTATTTTTTTGTGCCGGGGATTGAACTCGGGTCGTAGCTCTTGCAAGGCAGGCCACCGAAGAGCTGAGATAAATCCCAGGTCCGAAGTTTTTCTTTTAAATTAAGATATATTTTCATTAAATAAAAATTAAATTGAACCAGCTGAATTAGTGTGGAGTCTTTGCATTTCGATGACCTTTAGAACCCTTCGTCCCCAGCCCATCACCACCTCCTTGCCCAAGGCTCTCTCTGCAGACTCCGCTTCTCTGTATCTTAACCGGTCTCCATATTTTTTTTTAAATTATTTATTGTTTTGCCATCTAATATTAGAGAACCATGCAGTATTTTCACATTGGTGTGTGACTCCTTTAACAGCATGATGGCTTCATAATCCATCGAATTCCCTTCAAAACAGTCAAATTTATCCTTCTTTAGGGCTGACTACTGCTCCTTGTATTTAAATACCATTTTATTTATTCTTCTGTTGAAGAATACGTAGGCCATTTTGACAGTTTAGCTATTGTGGCTTGTAAAACTCCAAATACGGATAGGCGCATATCATGATAATACAATGACCTGAATATTTTGGAAATTGATCCAGAAGAGGTAAATTTGAGCCAAACAGAAATTTTATTTTCCATTTCCTATTTGTTCTATTTTTATTGATCCAGTAATGAATAGTTTAGAGTTTTAAATGACGTCAAAACTGTTAATTATATGGAGTTCTGCAATTCACCAACTGTTTGCCTTTCTATTAGCAGTTAAAAGCATTTCTCAAGGGTTAACTCAAATAACTTCATTGTGATCCTCCTGTGTCAATGCTGTGAACTTTGGGTCTGTTAGGAGGTGGGACAAACAGGACAGAATGGTTCACATAGCTCACAGATTGTCCGAGCAGACCCGAGCTGTCGAGTAAACATCCCTTTCAGGAAACACTTCAGGCCAGACCACCTAGATCCACCTCCTGTGTACAGCGTGTCTTCCCCCGGGGACTATACCCTGGAGGAAGCCTAATCTGAATTCCATATCTCTGCCTCTGTTCTAAGATAAAAATGAATCAGAGATTTGGAAACCTCTGGAAGATAACACAGGGGGGAAATTGAAGGCATGGGCACTGGCAAAGACTTCCCTTACAGAAGTCCACTAGCACAGAAATAATTTGAACAATCAACGAATGTGACTGTATCATATTCGAAACCTTCCGTACAGCAAAGCAAATTCCCCTCACAGTGAAAAGATAAACATAAAAATGGGGAAAATGCTAGGGACTCTTCTAAAAACTTATGTAAAACCTACATGCTAAAGGGGCAGGGCTTTAGCACAATGGTGCAGCTGCCTGCCTTGCAATTTCAAGGTCCTGAATTTGATCCCTGCCCCTCCATATGACAACAACAATAACAACAAACAAATGACAGCCTAAAGAAATAATAAATGACTCACTCAAAAAATAGACAAGAAAATTAGACAGTTTACAAGAGAATGAAAGATAAATGGCTAAGTAGTTATTAAAAAAATGTTCACTATCTTTAGTAATTAAGCAATATAAATCAATACTATTCTAAGACTACATCTTCATACAGAATGGCTATCATGTAGGATACAAAAGGCTAAAAATGCTGGTAAGTATGTGTGGAGAAAGAAACTCTTCTACAATGATTTTTTAAAATGTAAACAAGTGCAATATCTATGGAAAGTAGTTCCGAGAATCTTCCAAAAGCTCGAAATAGAAATTGCATTTGATTCAACGATACCAATATGAGATATACTTCCAAAAAAGTTAAAGTCTTCTCAGAGAGAAAAGGAAGAAGAGAAGGAAAGAGAGAGGGAGAGGGAGAGAGAAGTTGAGGGAGAGGAAGGGAGAGGAGGGGGAGAGAGGCTGAGAATAAGACGTAATCCAGTAGCCAGGTCCTCATGACCTACTTAACTCAAAGGAGGGCTGCGCTTCTAACAGCCCATTCGGCTAAGACCACATCAAAGGACTAAACTATTGAAGACGGTGCTGCCCACAGGATCTGGTCACCTCTCTAAGCCCTATGTCTGAATATCGATGCACTGGGCTCCAGGCTTCTCCTCTCCTCCTCCCTCTCCCCCTTCTTCCCCTTCCCCTTGCATTTCGTCCTCTTCCTCTCCTTCTTCTCCTTTTCCTTCTCCTTCCCTTCTCCTTTCCTCCTCCTCCAGCATGTAGCTGGGCTTTGACTCATGTTCCCCACTTGACAGAGAATAAGGATGGACGTGAACTTCAGAGCTGAACACAAAGTGAGTTGTTGAAGTGACTTCTGCTCTGGGATGTGACGGGCACTGTTTTTTAGAGGCGTCCAGTTCCTATTTTCTATTGCTGTCCAGTTCTTATTTACTATTGTGTATATTTGGATTCAATAAAATGTTTTCCAGTGCAACGCAGCAAACAACTTTTTGATTCCTTGAAACTAAATCTATATAAGTTCAATAGAGAAGAGACAGAGTCACCGATGGCAGAAGCAAATTATCAGTGCCATTAATTCGGAAGAAATGGGAAGTTTATAATTCTAGGAGGTCCAAGCAACTCATGTTAGTACAGAAAAACAAACCTCAGTACAGAAGTGAAATGTATTTTGACAAGGCTAAAAATGACACTACACAAGTATAAATATTTACTTTGATTCAGAAAAAATGGGAAGAAATTTTGAGATGAAAAAGTATTTTCTCCATAGAAACTCATGAACAGAGATTTGTGTAAATGCATCTCACACACACAAGGAAACACTCATGTCAAAGGAGTGACTCAAAGCCTGTAAAATTGACATTTCCATATTTGAGAAGATTTGCTCAGAATTTAATGGTACGACCGAGTTCAGTTGTGGGCCTGAAAACTTTTCATGATGTCCTACTTTCATCATTACTTTTGTGAGTGGAAAGGGGACTAAGAGTTGACAGAAGCAGGGAGAAAGAGGATGGGAATGGGATGAACAGCAAAAGGAAGAATGAAGATGTAAATTGTACTAACTCCTCGCAGTAAATGTAACAATTATGTATGGCCAATGTGTAGAATACTAATAAGGAACACACATTTAAAAACCTTTGGAATATGCACATTTGAACAATGAGCATACAGAGAAAGGAAATGGACTTGGTGCAGTGTCCAGAAGTCGATGTGCACCTATGGACCTGTACCATGGATGTACGTTGTGAGTACGCACACACACATGTACATATGCGCTGCAGTTCTGAACCCTACAGTGCTCTTCTCCCGGGGCCCTGTGCGCTACTTTCCATAGATGCAAAGCCCTCTTTCATCTGAGAACTCATCCAGCTCTAAGCAGCTTCTGCCTCACAAGTCCTGTCCTGGAGGGAGAGGACCTAGGCAGTGGAGCAGGGACAGCACATGGCTCTGGGAAGACTCAGTCAGAATCCTCCACCCAGGGGCTGTCTCCAAAACACAGACCTCCCATGTCTCCCTCATGCTTTTGCATACAAGATATGGCCTGGGATTTGTATTGCTAATCTGAAAGAAATTGGAACAATTCTGCCTCATCTTTTTACTCGTGGCGGCTCCCAGATATGAGTGTCCGAGGGTTCAGACAGAAGGGTGAGCGGATGCTTCATCTGAGCTCCAAACTCACTCTGTTCACAGCCCCACTGTCTTCTTCTAGGTGCAGCCACAAAAGCCGAGACTTGGCCTGTCCCTCAACTCTGCATGTTCTGGTTACTGAATCAGTAGTGATTACTCAGGAGCTGGAGTCATCAGCCCCGGGCAAGGGAACAGAATAGCAGGACAGTGCACTTTTAATGGAGGCACAACTTCTGTTTCATCCCTGACAGTCAACCCAGCATCTTTGGAGAAATACCCAGTAATTAGTTTTCCCTTCAGCAGGGCTCAGTAACCACATTGGACACAATTGGGCATTACTATGAAAAAGATATCGAGTGAAGGCAAACTCGTGAGCTTGTGCTTAGCTGGGTTTTCCTTGTTGCTGTCTTAGAAGGTAATTTTTGGTGAGCAAGAGATACTAAATTTGCCCGTGGAAGTGAGTGGATAACGTGTGGGCTTGAGGGGACATCAGTGTGAGCCCAGACACAAACCTCCTTGCAGGGCCGTTCATGACTCACAGGGTGCACTAGGGATGCAGGGGAAACCAAGTTGTTTTCCTGTTAGGATCTGAGTCTTCTTTCAACACAGTACTTATTTCCAGACACTTTGGTTTCATATATCTGTCCTTACCTCTGATGTGTCTCCTTTGTCACATGTGTTTAAATAGGAGAACATGTTCTCATCTGTGCAAAACACAATTTAACACTTGAGATAAAATTGATTCTACTGAGGTCCTGAGGACCAGATCCTAAGGAGTCTCAGGGAACCTGGTGAAAATCTGGTAGGAATTTGGAATCCGCAGTGAGAAGCAGTCAGTCGGAGCCCAGACGCAAACCTCACTTCTCGGTGATCAGGACCAGCAGGCCATGCCCAGTGCAACCAGGGGACGCTGAGTCCCTCCAAAGGGAGCTGAGGACCACAGCACAGCACTCAGCATGATCAGGATGCCCAGGAGCCGGACCTTCCAGGGGCTCAAAACAGGAGCAGGGGCCCTGGGGCCCAGGGGAGACTTCACCTGAATTCTCCTTGCTGTTCTTCCCTGGTGAATCATTTCTCTCTCTGTAAGTGGAACAATAATGGGCCCTATGTCTTTTTCATTAGGTCTTCTTCATGCACGGTAACATTTATATATAATATTTTAGATAACATTTATAATATTTTTAACCTTGTGTAACTAAACCTGGAGGAAATCTTTTCATTGAATTTATTTTACTACTTCAGGTGTCAGCAGTCTCATCAATTTAAAGTAAAATGTCCACTATTGATCAGTACATTTCCTGTTAAAACAACTACATTCATCAGGACAATGTCTTCTTAAGTCATTTTCCTAAATTGCCAAAGAAATACCATCCATTTTTAGCCATCTCTTTTTGTTCTTCCGTTTCACTCTCTTTCTCCTGCTCTAAGTGAAGACAAATCTTTCTCAGTCTTTGTGGATTTGTTATTCTTGAAAACTTTTTGTGTTCTTAATATACTATTGATACTAGTCCTCTGTCCAAGGAATAGCTACAAAATTATTCCATTATATATGTGAAATAAATCAAACACAAACACTTAAATATCAAATCACTTCTCTTACCTGAGAAAAAAATTAAATAACAATAAAACTATAGGAAATTGGATCATATTTTGTAAAAGAGAAAAGAACAAAGAAATGGAGGAAAGAAGAGAGGGAAAGGAAGAGAAGTGGATACAGAAGAATAAAATTGGTTATATTCGTGTACTGACTCCTCACCATGAATGTAACTACTGAATGCTGCAAACTGTGCTAATAAAAAGAAGCACTGAAAAATTTAAAAATAGACTCCATGAAAGGCCAATTGAGCATCTCCAGAGACAAAAGTCAGAACATGCTGTCTCTCCAAGTTATCAGTCTGAAATCCGAGGACAAGCTTTTGTATGACTGTGCAATAGAATCAAGAGAGGACATCAAGGCAGGCCAGACATAGACCTCCCTTCAGGGCGGCCGCAACCAGCAGGGGGCGCGAATGATCCACTGAGCACCAGGAAAGGTCCCAGGAGCAGGTGCAGAGAAGGAAGCTGAGTGAGGGCTTCCTGTCCGCCCCTGTGGCTTCCTTTCACTCTTACCATCATCTGAGGAGACCCTGCAGCACATACGCTGCAGACGACTTAGGAAGTAACCAAGTTCCAAGTAAAGATTGTCTTTTAAATTTAATATCACAAGTACATATTTACATAATTGCTTCCTTCATCTCCTAAACTTGGATTTTGCTAAATAAGTAAATATGACTTGTATGCACTTCAAAGTTTCTTGCAATTTTCAAGTTTACATTTCATTTGAATGCTGAATCTTTGTCACCTAAAAATGAATCTGATACTTTCATCCCCATGACAAGGAGTTGTCTCATGCAGAAATAAATGCTTCAGATTAGGGAATTAAATCCTTCACATCCCTCTCCACAGGGCCTGAGGACACACAGCACTC